GAGGTATTTTAACCTGTTGGCATTATCCTCTTTTTTTTTTAATAAATTTATTTAATTTATTTTTGGCTGCATTGGGTCTTGGTTGCTGTGTGCGGGCTTTCTCTAGTTGCAGTGAGCAGGGGCAACTCTTCGTTGTGGTGTGCGGTCTTCTCATTGCAGTGGCTTCTCTTGTTGCGGAGCACGGGCTCTAGGTGTGCGGGCTTTAGTAGTTGTGGCTCGCAGGCTCAGTAGTTGTGGTGCCCAGGCTTCTTGGATCTGCGGCATGTGGGATCTTCCCAGACCAGGGCTCGAACCTGTGTCCCCTGCATTGGCAGGGCGGGTTCTAACCACTGTGTCACCAGGGATGTCCTACATACATTATTTAAAAAACAAAACAGAACAGTTAAGGCTGTTATAAGAGGAAAATTGCGAGACATTCTCATTCATAAGTGTAAATGAAAAAACCTATACAAAACATTAGCATACAAATCTAGAATGGTGTAAAACAAAAGTATACCATAACCAAGCTGTATTTATTCCAGGAATGCAAGCATGGTTTAACACTAGAAAAATCTATAAATGGCATTTACTTCATTAAGAATTTAAAGAGAAACTATATAATCTTCATAGATGTCGAAAAAGCATTTGGTAAAATTTAGCAAACATCTTTTCATGACAGAAATTCTTAGTAAACTAGGAAGAGAACTTTATATCAACCTGATAAAAAATATTTTCTAGAAATCTACAGCAAACATTAGTTTTCTTTATTTTTTGATTAAGGTATAATCAGAAAAGTACACATATAATGGTATAACAAAATTTCATAAGAAATACACTTGCAAGCTTTATTTACTTGGCAAACATTTTTTTTCTTTTTTAATAGACTTTTTAGAACAGTTTCAGATTTACAGAACGATTGAGAAGATAGCACAGAGTTCCCACACCCATAGCACAGAGTTCCCACACCCAGTTTCCTGTTATTAACATCTTAGTATGATACATACATAACAATGAACCAATATTGATACATTATTTATTAACTAAAGTCCATAGTTTATTTAAATCTCCTTAGTTTTTGCCCAATGTCTTTTTTCTGTTCCAGGATACCCCATTATAGTTAGTTATGTCTTTAGGCCCATCTTAAGGGGGCTGTGACAGTTTCTCAAGACTTTCCTTGTTTTTGATGACCTTGTTAGTTTTGAAGAGTACTGGTCAGGATTTTTTTTGGCTGCATTGGGTCTTCGTTGCTGCGTGTGGGCTTTCTCTTGTTGCAGCGAGTGGGTGCTACTCTTCATTGTGGTGCACAGGCTTCTCATTGCGGTGGCTTCTTGTTGCGGAGCATGGGCTCTAGGCATGCAGGCTCAGGGCTCTAGGGTGCAGGCTCAGTAGTTGTGGCGCAGGGGCTTAGTTGCTCCACAGCACGTGGGATCTTCCCAGACCAGGGATTGAACCCATGTCCCCTTGCATTGGCAGGCGGATTCTTAACCACTGCACCACCAGGGAAGTCCCTGGTCAGGTATTTTTTAGGATGCCCCACTGTCGGAATTTGTCTGATGTTTTTCTCTTGATAATACTGTGGTTATGGATTTTTGGGAGAAAGATCACAGAGGTAAAGTGCCATTTTCATCATATCATATGAAGGGTACATGTTATCAACATGATTTATGACTATTAACGTAGGCCTTGATTACTTTAAGGTAGTGTTTGTCTGTTTTCTCCACTGTAAAGTTCCTCCCTCCCCTTTCTATATTGTCCTGTCTCTTCTCACCCATTTATTGATATCAGTGTGGACTCATTGATATTGAATATGGTTTCGGTTATAATCTAATACTGTTTTATTTTGTTGCTCAAATTGTTCCAGCTTTGGCCACTGGGAGCTCTTCAGTTGGCTTTGTGCTCTTTGATATACTGCCATCAATGTGTAGGGGTTTTTTGGAGCAATTCCTTACTTTCTGGTACTACAAGATGCTCCACGCTCATCTTTTATGTTTCCTGCTTCAGCCCTAGAATTAGACATTTCTTCAAGGAGCCCTGGTTCCTTTAATTGAAGAATGATACTAGCAACCAAGATGCAAGTGCTTAGGCATAGTTCTGGGGTGCCATTTCTTTTAGGCCCTCTTAGCTGATAGAGCAAAAAATATATTTATACTAAATTGTATATATAAAATATTGATATGATTCAATGCAATTCTAATTAAAATCTCATCGGGGATTTTATTGGAACTTGTTCAGCTGATTCTAAAATTTGTATGGAAGAATAAAGCCTAAGCTCTGCAGCATGTGGGATCTTCCCAGACCAAGGCGCAGACCCGTTTCCCCTGCATTGGCACGCGGATTCTTAACCACTGTGCCACCAGGGAAGTCCCTGCAAGCTGTTTTAAACAGATTGTTTTAATACTTTTAAGTTTATGGAACATAATTTGTCACTTGTTTATTTTTCATCCCTACTAAAGATTTGAGATAACTAAATTAGTTGTTTTTGAGAAAAGTAGGAAAAGTTAACCTTTGTTCAGAGTATTTTGTTATACATAAATATTTACTATTCTTAAATTATAGCCAGTTGTTTGGGGAAGAAGATGCTGATCAAGAAGTGTCTCCTGACAGAGCTGACCCTGAAGCTTCCTGTGAGTAAACTAGTTGGGGTATATTTTCTTATTGGTGAGCACTGTCTTTATTTTGCTAATTTAATATTGATAGCTTAATGGGGGGGGAAATAATTGCTGTTATGTGCTAGATGATGTATTGTATTTAAGATGTGTTTTTAAAAATGGGTACTGCCATTTTACTTGTGAGGAAACACTGTGCAGGGAAATTTCACAAATCTAGTAAATAGAGCCAGTTGTTGTTCCCAGATCTGATTATAGGTCTGTACTTGGAACTGCTCTACATATGGCCTTCAGAAACTGAGGTAGAAAACGATGGTGATGAGCTGTTATAATTCTCTCTCCTTGAACTCAGAATGTGTCAGATGCTGGTGACCTCCATGAGTGACTCTTTTTTCCCCTAAAGGTAGATGAGAGCTTAGTTCTATACTAACTACAGTTGAAAATAAAATGGTGTTTGTTTTGTAGGGGAACCAATGGAAGCCGAAGCCAGAGCCAGAGCATCTAATGAAGATGGTGACATTAAACGTATTTCCACCAAGGAATGGGCTAAATCAACTGGATATGATCCAGTTAAACTTTTTACCAAGGTTAGGTTTACTTTTGTTTATAATTGTGGATAGATTTTTGTTACTCTGTTTTAAACTAGTACGTGATTCAATTACACTTCTTTTTATGCCTACTGCTGTCTTAGTGAATTCATTGATGCAGGTGGGATAGACAGGTTTGAAATTGTAACATCAATACTAAATCATTATAGCATCTTTATAGAAGGTAAAATACAGAGGCTTGCTTATTCACTCTTGGTTGTCTTTCCTTCCCTCACTTTCACTGAACTTCTTGATTTTTCTTTATATAACTGACTTTTGGTTCCTGCTGTTTCTCGTCTTATATCCCTTTGCCGCTCAAATCTTCTATTGAGAGTTTGGGTGACATGTTCTAACTTGCTCTTGAATCCCTAAGCCTGTGTTCTTGGGTGAATTCCTCTTCATTTTATATATTGTTTGCTCAGTATTTTTAGAAAAATCTGTAAGATTGCTTTAATTAGGTCTAAGCCCTCAGATCTGTGTTTTTAAGAGTCTTTTCTCTTTTCCCTGCTTCTTTTTTTTTTTTAATTAAAAAATTTTTGGAGGGGGGAGGTGGGTGCTTCCCTGGTGCTGCAGTGGTTGAGAGTCCGCCTGCCGATGCAGGGGACATGGGTTTGTGCCCCGGTCTGGGAAGATCCCACATGCCAGGGAGCGGCTAGGCCCGTGAGCCATGGCCGCTGAGCCTGCACGTCCGGAGCCTGTGCTCCGCAACGGGAGAGGCCACAACAGTGAGAGGCCCACGTACCGCAAAAAAAAAAAAAAAAATTTTTTTTAATTGGAATATAGTTGATTTACAATGTTGTGTTAGTTTCAGGTGTGCAGCAAAGTGAGTCAGTTATATGTATACGTATATTCACTTTTTTTAAGATTCTTTTCCCACATAGGTCATTACAGAGTACTGAGTTCCCTGTGCTATACAGTACGTTCTTACTAGCTCTTTTCTGTTTGAGAGAAATCCCTTTGAGTAAAGGCTAGCACTTCCACCTGCTATTTTTCCGTCTTGTACCTTTTTCTTCAAATAGTATTTTCTCTCTGCCCTGCATCTTGAGTCTCCTGGCTCCTCTTGTCTGCTTTATGACATGCACACGTCCTGTTGTCCTAAGCAAATGGCCTACTGCTCCCTCCAGCTTCTGTTTTCTCTTTGCTCAGTGACAATACATGTCACAGGTTGACTTTCTTAAGCCTACTGCATTTATTTCCTCAGTACAGCCTTTACCTTAGAAAATGGTTTTTATTTTGATTATACTTAAAATCAAATGCACTTAACTCTGATATGGATATCGACAGTGTTTTCCAAACTAGTATCCGTATACCTATTTCCTTTCCAACCTGAGCAACAGTTGAATGCCAGGATAATCTGAAGTACATCTCCAATCCGTTGTTCAACAGGTAACTTTAAGCATCTGCTGTGTGACAGGGGCCACTTTAAGTACAGAGGATTTAGTGGTGAAAGACAGAAAATAGGGTCCCAGCTCTTTTTAGGGAGGGAACTCAGCATCTAGAAGGGAAGTCAAACATTGAATAAGGAATTTCAAGTTCAGGGTGTTATGACGTTAAGTTCTGATGCATTGGAACCCTCTAATAATAAGTAAACAACCCCACTTATTATTAAACATTATTATTAGACCTAGTATGAGGGTTCAGAAGAGGCTGTCCAGAGGCTGTCAAGATTTCTTTAAAGTCTTGACATTTCAACTCAAGACTTTAAAGAATAAGGGTGGGGATGAGTGTGCAGCATATAGAAAGTTTCAGGTTGAAGAACTGAAATAATTCCCATTAAACGGGAGAGTGGAAAGAGGACTGGAAAGGTAAGCTGAGGTTAGATCTGGCGGGACTTTCTAGGTCATGATAAGGATGTTATACAAAGACAGTGGGAATCCATTAAAGGGTAGTCTATAAGGTATAGAAAGTATGCAGTGCACTATTGTAGGACCTGATGTTCCTCTTGTAACCAATATGGGACAGTGCCTTCTGGAGTTGTGCAATGCCAGAGTAATCTGAAGTACAATCCATCTGCATTCCCAGTGGAGTGTGGAGGAGAAGTTAGACTCAACAGGACTTTGTATGTATAAAGTCAGGAACGAAGAATAATACTAACTGGTTTCCTGCTGGGCAGCAGGTGAACACAGGTGCCATTCTCTGAGATACGTAGGGTGGGAAACAGATGTGTGCGTGGGGTTTGGGGAAGAGGGGAAGGTGATAGAATTAATTTTCAGATTCCTCTGGGATATTAGTGAGATGACAGGTGGTTCTATAGGTAAGTAGAGCAGTTTAGACTAGGGATTTGGTTGAGATTCATAGGTTTATAGAAAGAGACAGCAGTGTGAAGATAGGGACTTCCCAGGTGGTTCAGTGGTTAGAATCCACCTGCCAATGCAGGGGACACAGGTTCGAGCCCTGGTCCGGGAAGATCCCACATGCTGCAGAGCAACTAAGCCCATGCGCCACAACTACTGAGCCTGTGCTCTAGAGCCCGTGAGCCACAACTACTGAGCTCATGTGCTACAACTACTGAAGCCCGCACGCCTAGAGCCTGTGCTCCGCAACAAGAGAAGCCACCTCAGTGAGAACCCTGCACACCACAACGAAGAGTAGCTCCCGCTCACTGCAACTAGAGAAAGCCTGTGTGCAGCAACGAAGACCCAACGCTGCCATGAATGAATGAATGAATGAATGAATTTTTAAAAAACTTACAGTACTCAGAACTGTGTGGTTTTCACACTGAATTGTACTCTAATTAGTTGTGTATTTGGCTGGTTTTCAAAGATTAAGGATGCTTAATAAATATTTATTGAATTGAGTATATTTTGATAGAAATAGTTTTTTTAACTTAGCCACATCTAAATTCATACCCAGTACATACAACAAACCTGTGGAATAAGTCAGTCAACAATAGAAAATATAGCTAAGGAAAAGGTACAGCTATTAAAATCATCTGAGATTCTGCCACATAGGAGGTGTGATTCATGTGATGGTCTCGCAGTCTACATGTGGTAATGTTTATGTTTTTTATTTTTGAAATAGGAATTGTTTTGTGTGTTTGAGGTTATTTGGGGGGGCGGAAGCACATTTCAAAGATGTTGCAGATGGTTAAGAAATTCTGTTTTTGAGCCCTTTTTAAATATGTGTGCTTTACTGGTATGTACCCACAAACTTGGAGATATTGCTAACTGGTACCTTTAGGCTCAGTTCTTGTGGAGTTGGTGTGTATTCACTTAGTCCGCTTGAATGGTATGATTGTGCTTCCGACTGATCTGAGGAGCAAATTTAGGGGAGGTGACTTGGGAGGACAGGGTCAGTCAGCACAGTTCAGAGTTCCCTTACTCTGCTTTCATCAGCGTCTCTGATTTTAACTGTTTTCACATACCGGGGTTTTATGTAAAATTTCCTTTTACACTAAGGTTTAAGCTCCCCCTGCCCCTTTGAGAATCGTTAATCTACTGGTATATAACATGTGTTCTTTAAATCAGATTTTATAGTGTAATGTTTAAAGTAAATCAGCAGGGAAATTTTGTTATATTTTATCAGCATAGGGACTGTAGGGTTCATGGAATTTACCTTTCTTCCTTCCCTTCTTTCCTCCTTCCCTTCTTTCTATCTTAGCTTTTTAAAGATGATATCAGGTATCTGTTGACAATGGACAAACTGTGGCGGAAAAGGAAACCTCCAGTTCCATTGGATTGGGCTGAAGTGCAAAGTCAAGGTAAAGGATACATTTTTGTCTTTGGGATACCTAAATTGGAAATTCTCTAACCTAAAGTCTTTAATAGCCCTGTCATTTCTTGGTATACAGTGGTACACACCCATGGTAAGAAATTCAGGCAGTTCAGCAAAGTATGAAGAATGAAAATCACTGGAAATCTCATCATCTAGGGAAATAGTTACTATTAATGTTTTAGGGAATGTCTTGGTGATAACTCGGTGCACATAGACGCAGGCAGTTGTATATGCACACTTTCTGTAAACGGAATCATACTATTTATATACTCTGACTTGCTCTTTTCAGTCAGTATTATTTAACTAGTCCCTTATCAGTTAACATTTAGTTGTTTCATATTTTCCCTGACATAAAGTGTTGTTCCTTTAACTTATTTATAACTTTAAGTGCAAGAAAAACTATTGTAGTAGTGACTACTTCCTTACCCACTCTCCTTCAACACATTGTGTCTCAGCTTGTTTTGCACAGCAGTGTTCAGCATAGTGGAACTTAAAAGGTACCAGGAGACTTAGGATGTCAGTTTGGAGCAGTTTTCTACAGTTATCTACAGTAACGGATACTTCACTTTATGGCCCAATTCAATTATTGCTCTAATAGCTTCCACTTATTGAGTGCTAACTGTGTTCTGGGCATAGTGCTTATTATCTTATCTACATTATATTCTTGAATCCTCTAGTAATCTCCTATGAAGTTCTGAGACAGTCTTGCACCTTTCCCATATCAATATTAGCGATTTTCTTATACACATAAGTGTATCATAGTGATAATTACTTTAATGGAATTTGTTTCATATTATTTGATTTTCTTATCGTCGGTATTGAATTTTTAAACAGAGTAGAGGAATGATGTTAATAGTGAAATTTCTAATATTTTTTTCTTTAGGAGAAGAAACCAATGCATCAGATCAACAAAATGAACCACAGTTAGGTCTGAGAGACCAGCAAGTTCTAGATGTGAAGAGCTATGCACGTCTTTTTTCAAAGAGCATTGAGACTTTGAGAGTTCATTTAGCAGAAAAGGGAGATGGAGCTGAGCTTATATGGGACAAGGTTTGTTTTGAAAATGTGGGGCAATTACTTATACATCAAGTGTATATTTTAGTTCTTGAGCTGTACCAGAACCTAGTAATTTGGGGATGTTGTTTATTCTACCAGATTTTGAGGACATGTTGATTTTTGTTTGGATGTTTTCATCTCTAATTACTACATTGAACTATGAATTTTCTATATGTGAATTTAAGCAATATCATAAAACCTCATTTTAGATTCTTGTGTGTTCATGGTTTATAAATGTGACTTTACTGGAGTAAAATGTTTATCTGACTTAAGCAAATAGGCTTAAGAGAACTTCTTACGTAATAGAGATTTGTTAATAGAAGTCATAATATCCTTTTGGAGACAACAGCTCATAGGCCTAATTTGGCCTTGAAAGTAGTAAAATTGCCTTTTAACTCTTAAAAGTGAGAGACTTCTCAATTGAAAAGTGAGATGTAGTTTTTCTTACAAGTTAAAACAATATTTAATAGTATTTTGCAGTTAAATGTTACATTTTGAGATTGGTGAGTTTACTTATTTTTAATTGTAGTCTATTTTCTGTGGCTGTAAATGATTTATCTGATAAAGTTTATATGTTCATATATTGGTAAAGATTTGCTGTGAGTTTTAAAGTAAGGAGAAAAGTTTGATCAGTTTAAGAAAACTAAGGTAACTTTATGTGCAAATTTTGAAATGGGTTGAATCAGTCATCTGAAATCTGGTAAATTTAGATTTGGGGGAGTCTTGTAAACATTAGTCTTTAGGGTTTGTGTGCTATAAGGAGTAACTTAAAAAAATTTTTTTCATTGTTACTGTTACACTAGTGGTTTGGGAGGTTTTCATCTATACACAGGGGCTACATAACAAAATTTGGAACTGTGACTTGTTAGCCTCTGTGAGTAAACTCTGTAACTAATGGGTGTGATAAGCCAATTGCCTGGGGAAGTACCTGATGGACACTGTGTTGGGTACTCTTAAATAATCATATTTAATCCTCACCACAACCTTACAAGATGTTTATATAATTTTCCCTATTTAACAGATTAATGAATATTGGGTCAGGGAGGTTTATTTGCCTGTGGTTACATAGCCAGCCAAATAAGTATGTAAAGAACCCACATCCTATCAATGCTTTTTCTTTTATACTTTGGTGTTTCTGAATTAGGGACTACGATAGTTTCTTCTCAGTTCAAAGCAGGAAACCTTGCTGAAATCTAATTAGAGAGACTAGGATATAGGCTCAGGAAGAACGGAAGTTGTAAAGGGAAAATTATTGTCCTGCCACATCTGAAAAGAAACAGTATAGGACTGTGGAGTACGTGAAGGGAGTTTGGAGAAGGAAAGCCAAAAGGAGTAGTTCAGCTGTTTCTGAGGCTTCAATGAAATAGCTTTCTCGAAACAGCTTGTGTTCCCTGGATTCTTTACTTGTCAGACAACCTTATTGTTGACTGATGGACCCAGGGAAGGATTGCCACAATCAATAAATGGAATTGGTATTCTGGTCTATACCCGTAGTCTCCAGTGCATTTGTTTAAGCAGGAGTGAATTCCTAGAACCTGCTGGCTCTTGGTAAGACCACATTCCTGGATCACAGGAGCTGATGATGAGCCCCTGCCCCCTTCTCATCCAGAGAGGCCATCTGTTGTTCTAGTTGACTTGTTATAAATGTGTGAAACTGCTGTTCTGAAAGAAATACTAGCCAAATTAGTAAATTTGCGGGGAGACTTGTTAAATTGTTTAAATTATTGGCAGGATGACCCATCTGCAATGGATTTCGTCACCTCTGCTGCAAACCTCAGGATGCATATTTTCAGTATGAATATGAAGAGCAGATTTGATATCAAATGTAAGTTTTTTTGTACTTCAATTGTATCATCTAAAATTCTAAGGTTTTTTTTTTTTTTAACAGCTAAACTTTTTTTTTTTTTTTTTTTTTTTTTCCACTAATGGCAGGGAACATTATTCCTGCTATCGCTACTACTAATGCAGTGATTGCTGGGTTGATAGTATTGGAAGGATTGAAGATTTTATCAGGAAAAATAGACCAGTGTAGAACAGTGAGTGTTTCTATTTGCAATTTTTAAATTAAAACAATAAAATTGGTTTAAAGCAATGGAAAAGTAATTTTTCAAGTTACCTTGTGAGTTGCATGTTTAAGTAAGCTTCCTGGAAATTATAACAAAAAGGAAAACACATTTGCTTCTCTTATTTTTGTCACATTTGCAGAAGCTAGTTTGCTTCTAACATTTCTAGTTTTACTGATTTCTTGGAAGAACTCATTTTGTGAGTCCTTATTAACTTTTCTCAATTGTTTTTCAGTTCTAAGAGTTCTCTGGTTTAAAATTCTATTTGGTTATTTTATAGTCCCCTGTTCTTCAGTCATTTTTTGTCAGTCTTTTTTATTTTAAACTTATATTTGATCATGTTTATGTCTGAAATCTTTATGGATGAGTTTACAGTCATCTGCTAGATCTCTCTCATAGTGTTTTGTTTGCTTATGTGATACATGATTTTTTAAAAAAGCAATTAGTATTTGTTAAAACTATATCTGTGATAATTCTTTAAGGACCTATTGAATGTGTGTTTCTTCAGAGAGGATTTTGTGTTTAATTTTATTTATTTAGTCTTTAAAATTTTATTTATTCATTTATTATGGCTGCATTGGTTCTTTGTTGCTGTGTGCACGGGCTTTCTCTAGTTGCGGCGAGCGGGGGTCACTCCTCATTGCAGTGCATGGGCCTCTCATTGCGGTGGTTTCTGTCTTGTTGCGGAGCACGGGCTCTAGGATCAGGGCTTGAACCCATGTCCCCTGCATTAGCAGGCAGATTCTTAATCACTGTGCCACCAGGGAAGCCACCCGATTAATGCACTCTTAAAATACCTTTTATTGTTTCCATGAAATTTCAGGGTGAGGGAATGTAGACTCATATGATCAGTGAACCTGCCATCTACGTTCAGTTTTCTATTTAAATTTTTATTTTGGTTGTCATGTTTTTAATTTATAAGAACTATATATTTTTTGATTTCTACCTTTTTATAGCAGCCTGAACAAGTGTCTACTTTGTTCTGTAACATCCTTTCAGTTTCTTTGTTTTCTTATCTCTCTTCTTCTCTTGGTTTAATGATACCTGTGTGTCCGGGCTTCATTTGTTCACATTTATAAATGAATGCCAGGATAGATTAATAATAGTATTAGCCTGAGTATTAGTAGTGTTAGCAATTGTTTTTAGTACTGCTGATTTCTCCCTTCCCAGTGAAGATCAAGATCAAATAAGTCTGTTCTCTCATTGTACCCTGCTTCCAGCCCTGACAGTATATGCCTAGTATTTATTGTGGGGAGAGGCTACAGTAGGGCTCTTCCTAGCACTTAATGCCTGTCAAGGGATTTACTTCTTTAAGCTTCGGGGAATTGATGGGGTTCTTCTTTAGAGTTAATTCATCTTAGCAGATACCATACTACATGGTAATTCCACGATGAGAATTTGTGTATCAGTTTCCAGTGTTCTGACATTTGTAACTTCAGTGCAGTTTTTTTTATTAGTATTATTTCCCTTGGTTCTTATTATTTTTTTGTTTGGGTATTAGGGAAATGGTAATAGTGCCAGACATACATTATTTTTCCTTTAATTATGTAAATGTTAATATCATAGTCATCTGAAAATTTGAAAAAAAGGCAGCTCATTTGTTCCATATATCTACGACAGCATTATCATTAATTAGAGAAATTAGTGTATTGGTCTTGTTAGAAGTTGGCTTAAAGTTGATAAGAATAACCACTAGGAAGGAACCCCAAAACTGATTTAATGATGATACCAGAGACAAGTATGGTTAGGCCCTTATTCATGCTAAATTAGTTTTCAGGATAGTCTGTAGAGTCTTCAGTACACAGAGATTTCTTTTCAGTAAGCTCAGCCTTGTTTACAAGGTAGCTAATTTAAAAAGAAGGTTGGAAAAATCAGTCTCTTAAGAAGGTTTTGGGACTTCCCTGGTGGCGCATGGGTTAAGAATCTGCCTGCCAATGCAGGGAACGTGGGTTCGAGCCCTGGTCTGGGAAGATGCCACATGCCACGGAGCAGCTAAGCCCGTGTGCTACAACTGCTGAGCCTACGCTCTAGAACTCGCGAGCCACAACTGCCGAGCCCATGTTCCACCACTGCTGAAGCCCGAATGCCTAGAGCCCATGCTCTGCAACAAGAGAAGCCACCACAATGAAGAGTAGCCCCCGCTTGCCACAACTAGAGGAAGCCCGCACGCAGCAATGAAGACCCAACACAGCCATGAATAAATAAATAAATAAACAAATAAATAAGTACATACTCAAACTTTTTTTAAAAAAAAAGTCTTGATTTTCCTTCTGGAAGGGAGTATTTAAGTGAACACTGTATGATATATAAATTATGACTCAAATTTCTGATTTTTGCTTGTGTTTTTTTTTTTTCCAAAGATTTTTTTGAATAAACAACCAAACCCAAGAAAGAAGCTCCTTGTGCCTTGTGCACTGGATCCTCCCAACCCTAATTGTTATGTATGTGCCAGCAAGCCAGAGGTGACTGTGCGGCTGAACGTCCATAAAGTGACTGTTCTCACCTTACAAGATAAGGTAAGTACAGGACCTAGTTCTCTTCCTGGTTGTTCATTTTTCTTTTTATAGGAAAGGTTGTTCATTTTTCTTTTTATTTTTATAAGAAAGGTTGTTCGGTTTTCTTTTTATAAGAAAAAACAAGTCCCCTTTTACCTTTTACAGTGTTACTGTGATAACAAACTAAAAGCCAGATAATTACCCTAACTACTGAGGTGTGTTGCTTTGATATCCTGGGTTGCTTTACCATCTGGGTCCTGTTGTCTTTCCTGTCTGTGGTTCCAGAATATGTGCTTCACATCCCAGAAGGGAATAGGTGTTTTTGGCTAGAATATGGAGCACAGGTGGTACATTGGTGGCACAGTATCTTAGTAAGCAAGTTCTTTGTTTCTCAGGCAGTGTGTAAATTCTGTATTTTTTTGGCAGATAGGAGGTATCCTTACGTGATCTAGTGACGGTCCTGATTCTGGTATGTTAAGTTAGTCCCTGAGAAGGTGCATCGTTTGCACACTTGGATTCACCTGTAGAGCTCTGGGGTGAGAAATGGAGGGTTAGGATATGGTCTGGTTCTATAGCTTGGTCCTTCAGTTCCTCCTAGTTTTTTTTAAATTCGGAAAGATTTTTAAAATGGCCTGAATGGGTTCCACTTCCCACTTTGGGGATCATTTCATATAGTTCCTCTGATTATGTCCATCATAGTGTTACATATTTATATATCTCCTGACATGGGGGAGTAGACCTTTGTGGCCCTAATGGCTGCTTGAGAATGAATGGCCTTTCTCCCAGAAATGGTTACACAGGGCGGGTTGATTTGAGCTTATGATTTGGATGGGGAAGCAGCAGGACTTGATATACTGGAGGGTGGTTGCCCCATCTTCTTTCTTAGGAAAGAAACGATTATAGTTGGTATCTACTCATTCTTGAGCTAAAGGTAATTCCACTATTGGTAGGGTAGTTGGACCTTTAGAGAGTTCCTCCATTGTTTGGTTTTTTTGTTTATTTGTTTGTTTTATAGGATCAGGTAGGATTTAACAATATCACTCCTGATCTGTCTTGGAATTTAGAGATGGAACTTGGGAAGGGGAAGACTGTTTATCTGAGAATCAGATTGATGAGAAATATTTCATCTATAAAACATCTGTCAGTACGGGTTTGGAATAGAGACTAAGATAAAATATGTCAAGTGTCTAGCTTAGTACCTAATCTGCTGGGAATGACAAAATACCAAGAGCCAGCCAAGGAGTTCTCAGTCCCCATCTGGAGGAAGTTTTACCTGATCTTTATCAGTGGTCAAACATGGGGATGGAACATGGGCATGAGATAATTGGGTAAATTCCCATTGCTTTCCTGCTTGCCCTAAGGTACCTTAAAGAGCAACTTGGCTCATTTCCAATGGAAGGGGAAAGTTAAGAGCCTTTATGAAAAAAAGTCTAGGCTTTTTATGGTCTTTAATTCCATATGTTAATATTTTGAATCTTTTTTTTCTTATAGATAGTGAAAGAAAAATTTGCTATGGTAGCACCAGATGTCCAAATTGAAGATGGAAAAGGAACAATCCTAATATCTTCAGAAGAGGGAGAGACAGAAGGTATTTATTATACATTGCCTGTGTTCAGTCCCCCTCATTTGGATGCAGACTGCCTGTGTGAAGGAGTGCATGTTAGTTTATCCATTCACTATATGTGGTACTCAGTACCTCAGCTGACAGGGGTGATGTTTGTCCAAGAGTGGGGAAGCCTTGATAGCCTGCTCGTGATATAGAGCAGAGTATTGCTGAAATCAGTGCCCAGTTTTGGCTTTCTTGGCTTTCCTTTTCGGAAGTTTAAGCAGTTCATCCCTTTTGTTAATGTATTTGTTATATAAGGTGTAATGCATTAGATTCTATTTAAGCTTTCTAAGTGAGAATTGTATTGTGGTTTTGCCTCCTTCAGACCACACTGGTCAACCTGATTGGACTTAGAAGTTCCCACACCTCATTTGTCCTGACGGGGAGTGTCAGGATTCTTTTTGGCTATAGCTCCTTGTTAAGAAATTTGGGGATATTAGGTCATGAGTAACTGGAGGTTGCGTTTTGGCTGGGTCATAGTCTGTTTTAAGAGTCTAGTTGAATATTTAAGCCCCATTCTAGCCATCTGTCTCTTTTAAAGGCTAGGACCTTAAAAATGGAAACTGGTCAAGAATCTCAGTGGCTTAAATGTGGTCCTTTTCCACAAAATACTTGTGCTACTGAGGGTGAGAGAGCATTTATTCAAATATGTTTGGAGTCCTTCTGTATTGCAGGCATAGTCATAGATATTCGTAATTCAAAGATGAATAAGATAATTGTCCCTGGCTTGAAGTACTTACAGCCTAGGGGAGGAGGGATTATCAACAAGTAGATTTAGTGCCATCTAAGAAATACTATAGAGAGAAAGTGTACAAAGTTTGAATTGAAGCTTTGTAAAAGGAGGGTCGGGGGGGTGGGGTGTCACAGGAGAAAGAGGACTCATGGGCCAGTTCTTGAAGAAGAGCTGAGAGGGGAGAGTCTGCATTTGGGCAGAATGAACAGCATCTAAAAGGCATAAACTTAGGAATCAATATAAAAACTTTAGGAATGGCCAGGTATTTTGTTTCACTGGAGGGTGGGGTGCTGTGGGGTTGGCAGTGACTGTGCACCTGGAGGATTCGCTGTGTCATATGTGTAATGTCTGTTTGTCTTCCTCCTCCCACCGGGGTTTAAGCAGGGAAGTAATGCAGTTACCTTGTAGTATAATCTGCAGGGGGGTGAGATAAGGATGTAAGAGTAGAGGCAGGGAGTCAGAAAAAAATGGAGGGAAGTGAGGGAGTTTTACTAAGGCAGAAGCAAACGGCAGAGTTGAGATTTGCAGAGGCAGAATTTAGAGCACAGGTGAAGAAGGGTAACATTGTTAGGCTTGGACAGAACTGTTGCCAAGACTCTGGCTTCAGAGGTGACGCTAACCCACCAGGATAGAATATGCTCAGTGACTGGTTCCCTTTTGAACATGTTGGGCTGAGGAGTTTTAGTGAGTGTGAAAGGGCTTGGGGATGGAAGTCTGGATAGAAACTATTTTCCAGAGACATTCCAGGGAGACTAAAAAGGTAAAATAAGAAATAAAAACTAAGAATGTAGAAGATTGTTAGGTTATGTAAAAAATTATGTAAATTTAAACATAAGTAGAATTTAAAATACAGTTTACTTAGTATGTGCCAGGCACGGTGGCTATAGGTCAACAGGTTATACACAGTCTGTAGACACAGAGCAGATACTCAGTAAAGCTGACTGAGTGTTGTGAGGGGAGAGTGTAAATTGGCAGCTGAATGAGGAAGCAGTTTGTAAATGAAACTTGAGTGCTTTTACAGGTCAGGAGAGAGGAGCATTTGAACATGCAGGAGAGAAAGGATAGTTAAGGCAGGATGGCCCTAGAATAGGTAGGAGGAGGTGGTGACACCAAAAGTTTGGTTGGAGAGATTGTTCTTCATTAGAGTATTTATAATCCATGTAGCAAAGGCTTATTGAGTGCTAGTAGATGCTAAGCATGGTGTGCTACATGCTGGGGATATTCAGATGAAGCAGAAATGACATGTGGAAGAGAGAACTAAGTTGGAATTACTAGTTTTTGGAGATCCTGCTGTCTGTCCATTGAGAAATGTTGAAAATTATGTTGAAAAATTCATTGAAATAAAGTTTCCTCATACTTCTGAATTATAAAATTTGCTAAAAGTAGTTTGCTGGCATTTCTGTGGATAATCTCTTTAGAAATAGAGTATATTTTGAACAATTCTAAAAGTTGTCACTGACTTCTGTGGGATTCCAGATTAATTTGGTTTCAAGGGGAGAAGGTTCTCAGAACTTCTCACAGTTTGGTTCCCTTGAAGTAATTTTGGTAGTTAACTTTTCAGGGCTGAGTACCTAAGTGAGTAATACTTTAGTGGAGTAGTTTACTAGGGCTGCCATATCAAAATACACAGACAAGTGACTTAAGTAACATATTTATTTTCTCCTATTTCTGTAGGCTAGAACTCTTAAGATCAAAGTGTTGGGAGGGTGGGGGGAGTCGATGGGTTTGGTTTCTCCTGAGGCCTCCCTCCTTAGCTTCTTCTAAGGATACCAGTTAGATTGGATTAGGGTCCACTCCAACAGCCTCATTTTAACTTAATCACCTCTTTAAAAAGCACTGTTTCGAAGTATAGCTACATTCTGAGGCACTGGTGTTAGAGCTTCAGTGTACGAATTTTCGGGAGATAGAGTTCAGCTTATAGCAGGGGGTTTACCTTTAAAAATTAAAGTGACTGCTCCACGGACATATAACTAAAGCATCTAAATTTCTTTCAAATTTTCTAGCTAATAATCACAAGAAGTTATCAGAATTTGGAATTAGAAATGGGAGCCGACTTCAAGCAGACGACTTCCTTCAGGACTACACTTTATTGATCAACATCCTTCATAGGTAGGAACTATTAATATTTTAAGTGTAAGAAGTTATTTGAATATACAAACTTAAGATAAAGTGGAGAGAAAATGTTTTCTTACCTTTAAACCTTACTGTTCATTTGAAGCTGCACCATGTATGTGCTCAGGTTGGCCACTAAGTTCCCTGAGGTTTGACCTACAGAAAAATCTGAGAATCCAGAAAGAAAAGGGATAAGCAAGAAATGTTTAAGGGTTAACTAACTCATCAGTGGTGGCTGACCAGAAAGACCTAGAGAGGGTAGAAATTCAGGTGTTTGAATAGTTATAATCAAGGGTGCGTTCATTTTGATAATTGAACTAGAATAAAAATTTTTAATTAGTTTTAAAGATTGATTTGGAAGAAAGAAATATTTCTCCCATAAAACAAGTATTTCACTGTGATCTGGAACAGTAACAAGAGAGCATTAAAATTTATCCTATATAGATTCCTGAGTCATGTACTTTTTTCTTTTTATTTGATTTTATATCCTGCCCACTTTATAAAAAAGCATCCAAAATGCTCGCATTACAGGATATTTGCACATATGTAACACAATTTAAATACAGATGGTCCTCCACTTTGGTGTGTTTATCTGCTGAATGAGGTAACATGCTCGTTGATACCCTTAAACTGCACCCTGACTCATTACTTTAGGTAGCATCTAACAAAATGCAAAGGCTGCCACCTGCATCCACATGTTTTTTGCCAATGTTGCTATCTATGTATCCAAACATTTAGAACTTGTGTAGTTGTTTGGAGAGTATTATATTATATATATACTTAGTTTATAAAAAGCATAAAATGACAGGAAAAACTGAATGTGGGTTATTAGTATAAAATGAGACAATTGAGTGAAAGGTAGATATCGCTAGGGAGTGATATCTGGCCTCGATTAGACACCAGTTGGATGTTAGTGGTGTGCTTGTGTTCAGTTGTGAAAGGACATGTACAGTAAAATGGAAATATATCACATGGTGTCTAAAAAAGGAGGCATAATTAGGGTTTTTTTTATCATATTTTTTAGCTCTCTGGGAACAGAACCCCCCTTATAACATGTAAGTCTTTTGTTTGACTTTCATGCATTAAACTTTTATACATGTTTTTGGGAACTCATTACAAAAGCAGGGTGCTGCCTGTAAAGATGGGGAGAAAACTGAGAATCCATGTAACTCTACCCCCAAACACTAAATTACTCTGGTCAAGATCAGAGTAGAGTGTATAGAATCTTTTCACCTAGTAGCTGAAGAAATAATGCCTAAGAATTACATCAGGCCTCACAGTTTTCAACTCATTTTCTGCTTTAGCAATAAAAGTTACTTAACATTTTTTTAAAAAAACCCTTTCCCTGAATTGAAAGTGCGATGTTATTGACCATTTGAATTAGAGTTTTGAATTATCATAAAAATCTGTTATAGTCTTTTTTAAAGCTCTTTGAAAATCAGAATCCAAATATTTGGTGTGTACGTAGTATACACTTTTTGAGCTTTGAGGACAGTTTCTGTCTGGTGTGCCTTTGCTTTTGTAAGTAGTATAACAGTGGCCCAGTGTTATAGTACATGGTTCTCTTACAGTGAAGACCTAGGAAAGGATGTTGAATTTGAAGTTGTTGGTGATGCCCCAGAAAAAGTGGGGCCCAAGCAAGCTGAAGATGCTGCCAAAAGCATAACCAATGGCAGTGACGATGGAGCTCAGCCTTCCACATCCACAGGTGAGTCGTGGCCCCGGTCAGCAGGTTAATTTACCCACCAAGCACGACTATTTAGAACAGACTGATTATTTTATGAATGTTGACCATAAAGTAGAACTCTGTAGGACTACTAGAGGTGTGTTTTGGTTTGGCATTGTTTTAATGAAGCTTTGAATGTATGAACCATGAAGATATTTAAAACTGGGTAAAATTTTTATGGAAAATAGACACTTTATTTTTTTGTTGGTTTGTTGTAACGACTGGAAATGTCAGTTTACTGGTGTATAAAGATGGTTCATTCTCAGTAGTAGTAGTTTTGGATTTTGTATGCCTGTTCGTAGGGGCAGTAAATCAGTGCCTCTAACTATTTTGAGTGAACAGATGCTTGGTAAGTATAGCATTTTAGCATTTCACAGTTTTCTCAGAATCAGTGTGACTTCGGTAAAGTGCACCAGAAGCTTTCTTTTCCTGGGTGTTCAGTGTTGGTGCTTTACTGTGCTCTAATGTAAACATTTACTACCTGCCTCAGCCCACCCCAACTCCCCCCCCCC